CAGATGTTGGGAAACAAAGTGACCACACTGAGCAAGACACAGGAACGAAGGCACAAGGTAAATATAATTTAAATAATGGTAGAAATAAAGAGATTTTCAAAATGATAAAGCAGTTCTTGGTGGAGAGGGCTGGGGTCTCTGGGGGTTGTCAGTATCCTCTTAGTTTTTCCTTCCATCTACTTAGTAGCTCCAAATTCTTCTCTTCCCCTTATTCTTTCCTCCCCCTTTCATCTCTCTCTCAGATACACACAAAAACATACATTCTAAAGTATATCTAAATAAATTGTTTCTGATATGTCATATGTCTGTAGAATATAGTTCTGCTGAAAATTTCCAACTATTTTTCTTGTAATACAGCCTGGAATGTTTGCAAGAGTCAGAACCTCTCAGAATATTTGTTCTTCTTTTAGATTCTTTACAGGAAAATACCATTATGAACGATTAAAAGTTCACATTGTGCATAACAAATAAGGCAAATACCAGAAGACTAAGATACATAGCCTTAGCCAAAGAAAGTGTATGAGACTGAAAATTTAAAGACCTTCTATACATAAACTATACTTTTGCTTCTGTCTTGGGCTTTACAATCTACTGATAATTAAATACCATTTGTCCCATAGGGTGTCTATGCACAGGACACTATATTAGGAGGCTTCTCCGTGATGTCTTGGAGAACGGGGACCTTCTAGATATATGTGCTCCAGGACCATCTTCTCTTAGTTTCAGGCAGAGTCTACCTTGCATCCAGGATTCTTTTTCTTTCCTTCTAGTCCTTTGGAACGACATCTTTTTAAACAGGCAGAAAGAGAGGGGATAAGAAACCTATCACTTATTTGCAACCCAGAAGGGCAATCCAATTCACTATACTCATTACTTAAGGAAGAATAAGTCAACAGTTATTACTTTCCTACTTTAAAGTAACAGAAGAAGGGAAAACTTTACATGCATATGCAAAACAATGAATTACTCATTTGAAAATACATTACTGTCGTGACCCGCCCGGGCAACTTAGCGAGACCTCATCTCTACAATAAATCAAAAATTAGCCGGGTGTGGTAGCGCGCGCCTATAGTTCCAGCTACTTGGAAGGCTGAGGCGGAAGGATCGCCGGAGCCCAGCAGGTCGAGGCTGCGGTGGCCGGGAGCGGCCACTGCACACCAGTCTGGGCAACAGAGTGAGACTCCAACTCAAAAAAAAAAACAAAAAACAACATTACTGATTCTAATGACTTTTGCTTTTCAGAAAGGAAACGTTTTATCATTTTATTTTTCTGGAGGTAGTCTTTTAAAATAAAAAGACTATTACATCCCTTCATTGGGATACCCCACTAGAGCACACATTTGCCCAGGGTGGAGTTCATATCATTATATCTCAGTGTGCTCCACAATGCTATGTACAAAGTAAAAAGTCAATATGTGTTTATTGAATGAATAAATGAATGAGCCTTTGTATCCAAAAGGCAAGTTTGAATAAGATAATAAAGAAATACACTCTGATAGGATATTTGCAAAGTGTAGATAAATGACTAACAGAATAGTATGTTCCCAGAGAAGAAACGTCAAAGTTTACATTAAGGAATTGCATGTTTCTTATTTCATATGGTCATTATAAATTATACAAGTCTGGGGAAAAAATTTATAATAATATTTTCATGTTTGTTTATTTATTTATCTGTTTACACAGGCCCTGTCTTGTTCCACAGTGAATTGTTCCACAATAAATGTGGAAAGTTTTATATCCGGGTATTAGGCCTAGGCATAAAAATGTGCTGCATGGGTTGGGGGCGGGATTGGCAGTTGAGGAAAACTGCTAGGGGAGGGAGGGGCACACCTCATCAACAAGGGTACCTGCGTAATCAGCATTTGTATACCTAACCCTGAATGTACCCCACATCTTTATAATAAAAAAAAATGGGAGACGGGGCAAGATGGCGATGGCATAGGTGAACTTGTGAGATTCTCTGAACGGACCAAGACTGCAAACTGCTGAATAGACAGACTGTAAAACAGAGGGAAAAGTGAACAAAACCAGAAGACCCTCATAAGGAAGAACAGGTCATTGCAGAAGAGAAATAAAAGCAACCCCACCTTCCCTCAAAAACAGAATTGAAGAGGGGGAGGGAAAGGGGTAAAGGGAGAAAAATCTACAGAAATGAAGAAAAACCAAAAGAAGAGTATGGGTCTCTCCCAGACGCCTGGGAGAGCAGACACTGAGAAAATTGACTTTGGAATAC